AGCAGCAGCAGCAGCAGCAGCAGCAGCAGCAGCAGCAGCAGCAGCAAGAGGGGAAGCAGCAGCAGCAGCAGCAACAGTAGCAGCAACAGCAGCAGCAGCAGCAGTAGCAGCAGCAGCAGCAACAGCAGCAGTAGCAGCAGCAACAGCAGCGGCAGCAGTAGCAGCAGCAACAGCAGCAGCAGCAACAGCAGCGGCAGCAGTAGCAGTAGCAGCAGCAACAGCAGCAGCAGCAGCAGTAGTAGCAGCAACAGCAGCAGTAGCAGTAGCAGCAACAGCAGCAGCAACGGTCCACCTTAACCACCGTACCCCCAATACTATGGGCCGTATATATAAACCTTGTGTGTGTGTGTCTGTGTGTGTGCGTGCGTGCGCGTGTGTGGGCGCATGTGTACGTATGCGTGTCCACTATTGAATATATACGCAGTAGGAATGCGGCAATGCGGCCGAATGCCACACACAGTAGCAGCAGCAGCAAAAGCAGCAGCAGCAGGGACACGGGGAGCGAGAGAGTGATCATGAGGGAGGCTGCAGCCGCAACCGCCACCCCGAAGCCTGCTGGTGACCACATGCTGACGATGAGTGCTGCTACTGCTGCTGCTGCTGCTGCTGCTGCTGCTGCAGAGTAAATGTGGCTTTAGTACAACTTACGGCACCCGTAAGCCTAACTGAAGACATGCGTCACATCGTATACCCCCCGGCTGTACACACGACACACCGACGGCCTCGTCCCATACTTACTGATCGCACAGACACGCACGCACGCACGCACACACGCACGCACGCTCTTCTGCACGCACGTGGACACGCACGCACGCACGCACGCACGCTCGTGCGCAGGCACCCACACACGCACACACGCACGCACGCACGCACGCACACACGCACTTAAACACGCAGGCACGCACTCACGCACGAGGACACGCACGCACGCACGCATGCACCCTCGTGCGTACGCATACGTACATAAACTCACATAAACACGAGTACATGTGTGCGCGCACGCGCGAAAGGAATGCATACACGCACGTACGCCGCGCGTATACGCATGCATGTACGTACAAATTCCACGTACGCGCCCCCACTATCGCCACTGGAGGGCTGTGAAGGCGCATATTATAGCCGATGCCTCCGCTACACTTGGTGAATGGGGCTGCCAGCGCCTCTGGCAATCACCTAACAACAATACGTATGTTAAATATTTGTTGTTGCGCTTAAGCCCCACTTGGCTCACTCGAACCAGCCAAGTACTTCTGTGAAGCTATTCAATCCCATTATTTGCCAATGCCTCGAAGGCTACCGCAGTGTCTCTCGCTTCTGTCACGCCTCACAATCTCACGCGCGAAGAGGAGACTCGCGAGCGTGCGCGAGCGCGAGCGCGAGGAAGAGAGAAGGGGGAGAGGTGAAGGGAGAGAGAGAGCGAGAGCGAGAGAGAGATAGCGAAGGAGAGTGTGGCATAGAT